ATTTTCAGGTACTTCTCATTTTATAAAAGTATTATGACTTGCCAAAAGTAACATTTCTTTGTGACAAAGCCAATAAATGAATTTAATTGAATATTTTAGTGTATTTTATTATGAAAGAATTAGTATCTCCAACATAGAATGACAAAAGTAAAGCAAAAACGCCCTAAACGAAGTTATCAACTTGCCTATGCTCCTTCGTCCTAAAAAGATTACATCAGCGATGTCAATAGTGACAGCCGTGCTGACGTTAATGAATGCCGCTGATTTCGATTTCAAATCTGATATAAAAAGATCATATAGAATATAGAATGCTTTTAAACACAGTGAACGCACAAGGCGTGATTCATAATTAGTTCAGACTAGACCTAAAATAATATCCAGTTGTGCAATATGGTGGTAGGCGCCGCTACGAGCAGCAACGGACCGGCAAGGCCGACGCGCTTCGCTCGCAGTACGTTGACCACCGGGTTAAACAACTTCATGCTAAGATTCCATAGATTGAAGTTGATGTTTTCATACCACGCGATTCTTTACTAAAACTTTTTATGGACCGGAACTTTGTCCACAGAAAACACGAAATCCACAATGGGTTTGAAAGTTAAGTTCTAGTTTGGGTGTTTCTACAATTCACCGGTAAGTGTTCGGCTAAACAGTAGTGAATATTTCTAACCTGTTTAATGTGTTTTCATAGATACTTATCTGTTTAAACACGTGAGTAAACGCGAAAGAATAAATCACTGTTACTTTACACATGGAATCACGAAAGCGGGAAACATGATCACGCGTCAATTGTTTTTATATAAATCACCCATATAATCCACAATCTTAGCAGCGTCTTCATTATTAGTTGAACACGACTATCGTGTAGCTTTGTGTTCAGCGTTATAATAACACGCTTTGCACTCATTGCTTCTGCGATTGACAGCCAACCGGCTTTCAACTGTTTCACATTTTTCTATTTGACTGCCGATATAAAATGAACTACGGGTTCTCAACTTTTATTAAATTGTCAGAGATCATCCCTAAAAAGTTGTTGCAGAGCCAAAACGACACGCCATTTTTTTACGTAACTATTTTTCTTTAATTCGCAACATAGGTACGTTTACTTTGATTTAAACTTTCAAGATTTTCACACATTATTTGATTTTGAGTTCGGAACTTAATCGTGTATAAATCGTGTTTTAATTACCTCGACATTTCACGCGTAAAGATGCGCGACTTTGAACGTTACTAATACTAATCACTCGAATGGGCAAATCATTCGTCTAAATCGTATTCAAGCACAATCATTCTACTCGAGTCGAATGATAAAACTCCACCAGATCATTCACCATGTCCGTATCAAAACGTCCCTGTTCCCGTCACATTTACGGTATTTACCATATGAAAGAGAGGGCTAGGCAAAAATGCTCTATTGAATCTATGGATTAATAATACTAATTACTAATGATGATCATTTGAATACGAAAATGATTTTACTAATTTCTCATTCAAATGCCAGAATTAGTAAATTACTAACGAGTCGTATATCAAAATACCTGCACTTGAGCTTCATTATTTATTTGTGCACTAGGGTAGTCACTAAACTGACACACAACACGTCCGCAACGTCGTGTTATACATAATTAAGTACCGAACTAAAAATCAAATAATAGTTATTATTATTCTAAATTCCTTCGATTTGACTAGGCCGCTCTTAACCAATTGAGTTACAAACCAAGTCAGCAGATTTTATGAATTTTTTCAAATGCTTGTTAGAGATCTTTGTATTATATTTAAACTCTTATCGCAGTCAGCGCACCGGTGAGAAACGTTTCTCACTCAGGTACCAGAAATGTTGTCTTTATTTCTCACGGCAAGTACTTCGTGAAAGTATGTAAAAAATGTACATACCTTCGCAGCTACATTTCATGTAGGTGCATTGATTATCATAAATGTGCACACCAGTCGGTATGTAGAGTATTGTACAAGTTGACAGACAACAAAAGTGGAATGACCTCGTTATTTCCGAAAAGGTAAAAAGGACAATAAGCAAAGGGTTAACAACCACAAGCTTCATCGTATATTGAAATGCAAATTAAATGTTGGAAGTAAATAAATATAAACATTACTGAGCGGCGTGTTTGACGAATTTTATACATATTTACAAATGCAATTTGCTGTCAACAAATCCTTTAGAACGATGTACGTTTCAAAATTTTTAGCAACAACATTTTTTATCGAGTTCTTAGATTTTCGCGATTGTTACACATAAGAAATAAAACTATTTCTCCGGATTTAAATCGCGTATATTTGGTTTTTCAAACAAACCCACGTTTCGGGCCTTTTACAGGTCCCATGGTCACGCTTGACTGAGGTGGTATAGTCTTCAACCAGTTACGTCTAATATTAATGCAAACCACCCTATTTTTTCCACTATAGTTACAATAGTTATTAATTAAATACCTCATTTTTAAATTTTACAAAGAAAACATTCCAATTTACGCTACAATAAGTTTTACAAATTATTTTATTGAATGAATTTTTATTAAGTTCAATTTATTATTAATTAATCACAGAAATTAGAATAAACTAAGACATATTAATTAGTACTGCAGTCTTATGTCTGTTTTGGGATTTTTCATCAGAGGAAATACTGGATCCCAAACCATCTTCCCTGTTGAAATTTTATAAAATAACGGTTTGTTTGAAAAAACAAATTCTTACATTCTTTATTATTAAGTAGTTTCACACAAAGTTGTATGTGCAGTTTTTTGAAAAAATTTAAACTGCATAAATAAAATTATAATTAAAATAAAATTCTTCTTCTTGTCGAGTCAAAACCAAAAACCAGTAGAAAACCTGTGTTAAATTTCTTTGGCCCAGTAAGCAGCCATCTCTATGCCCCTATCTGTTGCTTTTAACAGGTCTTCGCGGGTGCAGCTGGTCGGACACAGTGGGCACGAGAATAAGTGAGACATACTTTGTGTGGGAGATGCAAAGTTTTGAGTCGGATTGATATATCCCCATTTTACCATGTTGTCTCTACGTCGGCCAATCTCTGATCTGAGGCGATTCAGGGATTTCCATATTGACCACTGCAACTCGTGCCCGGGGACTTTCGGTTGGGGTAATGTGTCGAAGGAAGCTCTTAGTCGTACAGGTGGGAGCTTGCGGCCGAATAAAGGGTACCGACTATCTACCTCCTGCTTTAGTTTCTCTACTCCACATGCTATATTGGGAGGACCAATACCCGCTCGCGAATATAATGAAGAGAGTGGAGTGGGCTGAAGAAGAATAAATTTAATAATAATATACTAACTCTAGATTCGTATATATCCATTCTCTGCCTGTTCTATTTTACGTACATGGTAAAAATTGCTCCTTACACACTTAGCCTGTATAGTTAGTGAATAAGGTATATAATTGACAAGACACTCGTCTCTACTTTGTATCCACATACTACGGTGCCTTCAACGGCCTTACGGCCTTTTTGTTTAATATAAAGTAACATAAAGTATTTTTTATTTTTAAAGATCTGGCGTGTGTTTAATGCGTGCATGCGTGTGTGAATGAACAGTATTTAGTCTAATTCTATCTAATATCAACGCGTTGTATACATAAACAGTTTTTTTATTAACATCGTATCTAATTCAATTTAACAAATCAGGATATCACGAGAACATTTTCTTCATAACACTATCAGTCATTATTATCATGTTTTCAGTTCATCATTTATATTTTTAGTTTCAACTAATGCGTAGGACTGAATAGCTGCGCAGTTCATTTCTTGCACACGCCAGTTTTGACTTGTCGTGTTTTATGAAGAATTATAATATAGCTTTTGTTGTGAATTGCGCCGCGGTTTTATCATTTTAAATGCTATTACATATTACAATGTAGCTATCCAAGACAGCTCCTTAGACACACGTATCTTATAAAGAGTGATTATTCTGGAGATGGCAAAGTTTTCTATTTATTTTAAATTTCTTATCAAGGGCGTTAATTTAGTTGCATTACTTTAATGACAGGTAAAAGCCAGTGTGTGAATATGAAGGAAATGTGAGTGAAATCAGCCTGCACAATTTGTATACTTACACAATGCATTTTTTACATTTCAGTAACTTTGTGCATTAAGATACGAGTTTGAGAAAGTAAGGCGACGTTATGTGACCAAATGAACTTATCTAAGTTATATCGATATTTATCGATTCTCGACTTGCGCGAGAGCGACATAAACATTGACTTACAATTATATGGACGTCGTGTCCGCGCTAAAAAGTAAGCAAAATTAGACAGTACTGCGATGACATTACAATTTAAATTCAACGGTTGAGCTTTTTCATATTCCTTTACATGTCACTACGTTTAAATAGGTTGACTTGGGACATTTTTTTTGTGGTTTTTGTATTAGACCCGTCGTCCATTTATTTGTAAGTCAATGGACATAAAGCTCTAGGCACTGCTATTTTTCGCATAGAAATCCCGCGCTTTATATCACTCTCGCGTTTATGTCGCTCTCGCGTTTTTGTCGCTCTCGTGTTTATGTCGCTCTCGCGCAAGTCGCGCCCTAGTGGTCCTTTATGATTTAAAGTTCTGAGTGGTACTGTAACTGCTAAGGACAGGCGTGTCGCTTACAACCAGGCACACGACTTGTTTGTCTCGTCATTTGATATCATAAAAAAAAATGTGAAGCAAAAGTTACAAATTATTGTCGTTTCAAAATTTACCACATACATTAACAAGCGATATAGAAAAAAAAGTAGTTTAGTACAATATAGCATAACGATTAATATTGCCAGACTTATACCAACATGACAGACTGACATCACTGACATAAAATTACAAAGAGACGTGTTGCATACTAAGTTAACGCATGCGACATGAACCTGCCTACACAAATATTGATGTAGATAATTATGGTCGTCACGTCTGTGTATTATAGGCAAACGCTAAAGATTTGACGATTATCTTTTGCAAAAGCAAAAGCCTTGTCCAGCGAAACTATTTTCGAATAATAATAATTCTTCATTTGAACAGAAATGTTACTTTTCATTGGAAGGCCCTGGGTTCCGAGCCAGGTTCAATGAGCTGTGTTACGGAAATCAGTGTCTTCTTTCATTATTAGTTACGCTTATTTATGTCTGGTAGTTTATGTATCTGCTATTAATGTAATATTTATTAAAACGTCAATAATCGGAAAGTTATAAAAATCGACTTATATTAATCATGCAGCTCTCAAATAAATAAAACAACGTTATAAAATCCGACTCTTAAAAACTCATTTCATACACACACCGGCACATTTAACTGATAGCAACAACCCCAAAATAATGCAGTGCTTTTTAAAAGTCTGGCCGATAACTTTTCTTAATTTTATTTTACGACTAATTTGAAAATAAATAATTAGCCCATTGTAATTATTTGTCTAATGGTTCGAGGTGATTTTGCATCTTTGTAAATTTCGTAGTTTTTTTTATTTCAACAGTTTTGATTTAATCAATGTGAAACCGTTACAATTAAAAAAAATCTAAACTTAAATTTTATTAAATTTCGATTTTTAACAATAAAGGTTAAGTAAGGCTATACTAAGTATTAATTTAATTGCGACTTTATGTCTAATACTTATTTATTAAAATATAAACGTTACTATTTTATATTCTCACTTATTTTTTCCGCTAAACGTGCTGGTGTATTTCGTAAAGCCAAAATAACCATCAACTTGTAGCTCCACAGAGACTTAATGAAAGTAAAATCCTTAATATTTTTTCTACTAAACATATTTAATTAACTTAGTTTATATAGTAATGTATATCCGTAATCTGAACTAATAGATATAACTTAGCTAATGGGCGAACGGTCTTCATTTAAGCATATGTGGGATTATCCGGCATTTGGAGCAAATCCAAGTGACTCCTCAACTGGGTCACACTAATCAGTAAGCCTGGTACACCTACAGTTGGTTAAAATCGATAGCTGAATACGTCACAGTGAAAAGGCTTCTTTTATACCGGTGTATTATGTATACCGGCTTTCTTTATATCGGCACTTTCAGCTGAGGGAAGTACTGCCACTTTACTCATTTCTACCGCCAATCGGTAATGTTAGCATTAGTGCGTTCTGGTTTTGAAGGGTAAGGGTGGTGGTGAAATTATAGGCGCGTGGGACTTGACAACTTGTGTCTCAAAGTGGCGGGAGCAGTGGCAGTGCTCAGATTTTGTAATTTAAAGCTCTAAGTGGCACTGCAAATTGCAACCAGGCGCACGACTTGTTCGTCCCGTCACTTGGTAGTTATGACTGAAGTACGCAAACGGAACTGGCCCAGTGTACAATAAACCTAAACTATCTCCTTAGAGAAACACTGAACCCAACTATGAGACATAAAATGAGTTGTGGTGTTGTTGATATTGCTGTTACTAAAAGTTCCTATGTATACTAAATCACTTCAACAGATTAAGAACACAAAAAGTTTTAATCCAAAACGATTGTAACGGAAGTTTTAAATTGTATTATTGGGAAGGAGCACTAGAAAACAAAGCAGGGAACAACTTTGTCCAATTGAAGTTGTTCGTTAAAGTTGAGTCATACATTTCAAGTAAAATGATAGTATCTTTACGAGGACGTGACTTGAATTCGAAATGAGATAGAACTTTGCGTTAAATTTAGAGTTAAAAGATGAATAACATAGAATCATAATATGATTGCGCAATAACGGGTATTTTGTTATAAGGTTTATGACCTTACGAAATAAGTAGGGACTATGAAAATGTTGTTTACTAATTTGTACCAACACATTTTTATTACATAAAAGATAATAACATTTGTAATACGAATATGACGTTGCTTAGAAACAAGGAAAATAATTATAAATATTTTTAAGCTTTATTAGAACTTTGAAGAATTGCAATAAAAAAAGAATAGCTGCTGGAATCAGCCGATAGAACTAAACGGATCGGAATACCTGACTTTCAGTGATATGTTTAGATAAAACATATTACTGAAAAACATAATACGACACTTCTGTTTTCTGAGAACGAAGTCGCTGTGAAAATTTCACAAATTACTGGGCATTTGATTCACACTGAATACAAAATACAAGTAGTTGATTCACCGAGTCAATGTAAACAGCACGCGCAGTGGGTATCAACGTGACTGCTCCGACGCAATGATTCAACAGACATTGAAATATAAACCACGCATAAGACAATGCTTTAGTTCCGTTGTTCTCAGTGAATGTACATAAGGTACATTCGCTGCGGGCTCCTATAATGTTATCTAAAAGGGAAAATAGGTTTTCTCAGCAGCTTCTGCGATCCGTGTATTATTTATTGGATATGACGCTGTTTCTTGTATTAAATTCTTGTCACTGTCAATTGTGGCTGTCAATCTAAGGGAGCGTTCGTAAATTGGTTATCATGACTTGAAAACAATGTGTAAAAATAACGTTTACTACATCTAATTTGATAATATATTTAGAAATTTACGTCGGTAAATCTTATAATGGCATAAATTTTACGAGTAAAAAAGTAAGTGCATCATAAAAGTTAAAAAAACATGCATCAAAAACTCTGACGGTTGATTGGAAACTTCCAAAGGCAATAAAAAGTTTAATTAAGGGCTAACGCCCTATTATGACTTGACGAAGGCCTTCGTGTAATTGGTGTTGCTATATTTATTAATTCTGTATGGTGCGAAGCATGTTACGCGTTTAGTTACGGTTTTATGTCAGAATGTATGAGATGTAGTCACGATCTAACATGGTTCACGGTTATTTTGTTTGTATATGCTATAAAATCGTGCTGGGGTGCAACAGGGAAGTCGATTCGGACTTTTGTTTTATGTAAAACACGTTAAAAATGATTTTTCTTTGATAATTTCATAATCTTCAATATCACATTAGAGTTGTATCAACGACATGAAGAATATATAGTCTAAACAAACGTAATAATAGTTAAAAAAGAATTTGAACACAACATAACAGTTTCAAGGGCACCGTAAGGTCACTTTGTA